CTTCTTCTTCTTCTTCTTCTTCTTCTTCTTCTTCTTCTTCTTCTTCTCCTCCTCCTCCTCCTCCTCCTCCTTCTCCTCCTTCTCCTTCTTCTTTTTCTTTCTCCTCCTCTTCTTCTTCCTTTTCTGAAAGGTTTAAGTAACAGAGACAACACTAGTTCTTCCTGTGTCTATTCACTGCTCTAATCTCAGTGATCTAACAGCATCCCATTCTTCCAATGGCCTATTGTAAGCATTGTGCCAGCTTCTCCAATCAACTTAATTTTGAGTGGGAACTTGGCTGCTCCAAAAATTGTCTCGGAAGTGTAGTATGTCAGACAGTGATGCTGCTAAGGATTGCAAATGAGACACGGTGCAGTGGAGCATTGAGGATGAATGGACAAGTCCATCATGTACTGGTATTTCCAGTTACTTTGGTTTTACATTTTCCTTCCCTACAAATTGGGTTCTAGCTGTTACTTTTTTGATATTTGCTGGAAAGAATAGTTATGTAGTTGTTAGCATGATAAATGGTACTATACCTTTTGTTTTTTCTAGGGGCCATCTATCTATAAGAATAGTCAAGTGAGCTGAGAAATCGCCAGTGTTCAGTTGGATTACACTTGTTCCAAAACAGATAACCTTAGAGGTAGAGTTTAACAAGGGAGTCTTGGTTCCTGGTGAGTATATCTATAGTGGCAACATGTCTAGTGAAGTTTCACCTCTCTCAATAAGCACATATGCACAGATTTATAATATGTCTGTGTAATCTCTGCCTACCTTGTGCCCAAGGAGGCTAGGACAGGACATCAGATCTCCTGAGACTAGAGTTACAGATGGTTGTGAGGCAGGATGTGGGTGCTGGGTATCAAACCTGGGTCCTCTGCAAGAGCAGTCGGTACTCTTTAACTATTGAGCCATCTCTCCAGCTACAAATTTTGCTTTGTTACCGGATGATTCTTGAGCCTTAATAAGATCGCTGTCCCAGACTTATTCTCATGTGGAGTTAGAAGAGAAAAACATTGAAGATCACATGGAAATAGAAGGTGTGCTGTTTGGGGGGAAAATGAACTTGGAGGGGGAGGAGAGGAAATTAGATGGGGTGAGGTGATGAGCGTGGTCCAAGTTCTTGGATATACCTGTATGAAAATGTTACAAAAATCTATTGTTTTGTCTGATTGATACATGCTAAGAAAATGTGTCTTCTGTTGATTTTTACACAGAAGGATCCAGAATGCTAAGTGCTGCAGCATCTCTAAGGACATGCTTAGAAAATACTGCAGTACCAGGTGTGGTGTTTCAAGTGAGTTTTGTCACATTGTTTATCTTGTGATGTCTAAAGGAGTCTCTGTGTCAGGTTGAGTATGCCAGAACACTCCTGGAGGAACAAAAGAGTACCATCATGCTGTATCTTTAATTTTCTTGGTGCTCAGAATTGAACTTATGTCCTCACGCATGCCGGACAAGCATGTTACCACCAAGTTATAATCCCAGGACTGTATCTTATGTGTTCATGCCTTTTGGACATAGCCATGGTTTTACAATGTTTACTAAAATGAATTTTTGCTACTATGTGTTTCCCATAGTCCTGTGGGGACATGTCCTTGCCCAGTTTATTTCTGTGTCTTACTGTCCTTTAAGAACTGAAAAAATGTGTTTTTAGTATGAATAACTTATATGGGTGAACAGAGAATTAAGGACTTATAGCCTTCTAATTATACAGTGCAGTCTGAACACAGGCTGCTTCTGGTTTGCCCTGAGGTCCTCATTAACTATCACATTTTCATTGGTTCTTCCATTCTGTTAATATTTACTGAATGTCAGATGCTGTCCTCAGGCTGGGGTTTCAGTGATAGGCAAGATTAATACAGATTCAACTCTAGTGGAAATGTTAGTGAATATCAGGACAGCGAGGCTTCTTATCTCATAAAACAAAGCGAATGTCATCCAAAGATGACTTTTTTATTAAATGTATTTCTTTACTGCCTCTTGCTGGATGTAGTGGCATAAATCTTTAATCCCAGTACTTGGGAGGTAGAGGCAGGTGGATTTCTGTGAGTTTTAGGTCATCTGTTCAACAGTGAGTTCAAGGCCAATAAGGAGGACATAATGAGACCTTGTCATTAATAAAAAAAAAACCCACAAATGACATAGTAGTTTGACAGAGGCCCATAAATTCATGCAAGTCTTATTTATGAACTGCTATTATTACATAATGCTAGTGTCTCAGCTAATATTGACACAATGCTCAAGACATGCTTGTCTGTGCACTTCTGGCTTCTGAAATAGGATTCTTGGCATACCCCTGTTGCACTTTCCTCTGCTTTGACTTCAAACTGGACCCTCTGAGGTCAGTCTCTGACCACAGTAGTCTTCTAGTAACTTCTGAATTTCAGAAACACTTATTGCATTGGGTATTCCCAGTTAGTTACTGTGTTGACATTATGGGGTGGCTTGAACTTGTAGCTAGAAGAGAAGGAATGGAGGGAAATAGTAGAGTTATTTTGATCCAATTATCTTGATTTGTGACTAAGGTATCTGGACTTGACAGAGTAGAAGGCAAACATACAGTATGGATCCACATGTACCAGCATCTGAGTAGATGACATGATGTTGTTTTGTTATGGGAAGGACCTCCCAAGGAGCAAAGGTAGAAATTATGTATCTCTTATTCCTTGCCATATCCCCAGGATGTAGTAGATTCTCAGTTAGTGTTGGTAAAGGAATTCATAGATACAAACCAAAAGCTATTACAGTTCAGTCCAGTTCTCAAGACATCCTAAGAAACCCATGGCTTTATCAGTTAAATTCAAAATCAACAATCACACAAAATCTGGATTTTTTTCATTAACTCACAAGTGTGCTATCAGTAATCCTATCTTTTTCTGGAGCTTGTGTCTTTAGGTCACAGTCAAGAATCATGGCAGATCGCCTTACAACCACATCACTGCAAACAACAGCAGGTGCACAAGGAGTTCTAAAACAATTCTTTACAGATCCTCATTGAAACCATCATCCCAGCTACAGAGATTAGGCCACTGGGATGCTTTCACTTACGCCTGGTACCCTGACCCACAGTTATTTTTCTTAGCTGAACCTACATATTATCAAGCAAATAAAATCCCAGAGAGGAGGATGCTTATGCGAAGATTGTTGCATCGCTGGAGGACACAACTGATAATCAGAGCAAGGATTTGAGGAAAGAGCCAGCTCCGTTTCCTTAGGATGCCTACACTGCCACTTGAAAGATCACTGTTTCATCTTTGTCCCTTTTATCCTGTGACCCAAAATGAAGTATTTCTTGGCGTGTGAACCGAAGGGGAAAGTTCCAGCATGTCTCATATGCCACGGAATTCTCCAGGTTTTATCAGCGCCATATACAGCAGCCAAAGAATGTTTGAGGTTATGAATGGAGTCTATTAAAGAATGGCTTATTATGATATCCCTAAGTTAACTGAAAGTAGAAACTATAAAATGTGTTTTAGAAAGGATGTTTGTTTGTTTTTTTTCCAATCAGAGTTACATAACATGATAGAATTATACCCCAAGGCGAATGGATTTGGTTTTGATAACAATGACCTGGCATGCCCACAGGTTCATGTAGTTTGGACTAGAGGTAAGACTTGTTCCTAAGCAGCAGAGTGGTGTGAATTCGGATCCCAGGCAGATCACTAACTGATTTGGTGGTTTCCTACACCGCTCTGTTAAGAAAAGCCTGTTTATGAATTACAAAATAAATCATTTTCTGTTCCGCATGACCTTAGAGAAGCCACTTAGGTGCTTTATGTCTTCATTTACTTATATATAATATGGAAATAACTGTCTCTAGGCTATTATGGGATGTGTTACATCATTCAAAGTATTGAAAGCTTAACTCAGCAGAGCTATGAAGATATCCTGATTTGGAAAAGGTTTATTAGATATTTAATCAAGTTAAGAGGAGATCATTAGGATGAGTGGATCCTACTGTAATTGTTTGGGAAGGTGTGGATGTAGCTATGGAGACCCCTGGGGAGAGTTCGGGGGACACATCTTCAAGTGAAGGAAGAGCAGTTTTGAATGGCTATCCATATTGGGGAGACAGAGATGTGGAAGGGTTCCACGTAGAGCCCGGAAGGAAGCATGGACCCTCTAGACTTTGGGTCTCTAGAGTGGAATGTGTACATCTATGTTGTGTAAGCTACCTAGTCTGTGGTCGTGTCTTATACCAACCCTAGGAGATAAATTATTGTGAGGTTCAAATTATGATACTCAATATGAAAAATATTTATAGATCATTTTCTCTATCTCTATGTGCGCATGCACATACGATGTGTGTAAATACATGTGTGTGCATGCATGCTCATGTGTATGGGTATACTGCATATGCTTGTGGACGCCAGATGTCAACGCTGCACATCGTTCCTCCTTACTTGTCTGCTTTGTTTTTTAAAGACAGGGCCTGTCCCTGGGCCAACAGATTAGGCTGGACTGGCTGGCCCCAATCTTCTCACTTGTCTCAGGTCTTTAGCTTAGGAGTTGTAAGCATGCGCCTTCTTATGTGGGACCTATGGTTGAAACCCAGGTCCTGAGTTTTGCAGGACAAGCACTGTTATCAACTTTGTAATCTCCCTAAACCCATTTTATCTCTTTTAACCACAGGTGGTACCCTGAAAGAACATCTCTAAAATGGGCAGTGTTAAGGAAAATCGAATTTAAAATTGTTAGAAATGCTTTTAATCATGAAAAAATATTTTGCCACATTTTAACCTTTTATTTTTCAAGGAAACTTGAGTGTCTTATTTATTGTACTTAGAACATTAGCTTCTCTATGGGCTACCAGCAATTAAAAAAATGAAATTCTAAATTAATTGAATATGAGATGTAACCACAAAAATTCAATAATAGAACTAGTTCTTTACTCACCACTGCGAAACAAATGGCGGCATTGAAATGATATGAATTGTGGTCTGGCACAAATATCTGAGTTATTTGAAATGAATCCTTAATCCAAAATAGTAATTCATCGTGAAAACAATTACAGTCTGCTTTAGAGAGCACTTATATAATAAAATGTTGCCTCTTCTGTATTCTATATTAGGGAAATGACTAATGGAAGATATCAATAAAGCAAAACATACGTGTATATTTTGTTAGTTGTTCTTTAAGCACAGTGTTTCCTAGAGATTGAAGTGCCTGAGCATGAGAGAATTAAACGTGTGCTGGGGCATCAAAGGAACTACATAGGGTGTCAGTTTTAAGTCTCCATTTTTAGCTACAGGAAGCAGAACATCACTCTTGGATGACCTGTTGCAGGTTGCACTGGGATTTGCTGACAGAGTAGAATTCGTGTTACCTGACTCCTGTCTGCTGCTTTTTCTGCTCTGAAGCAATAGTGGTCTTACAAACTTGTTACTCCTTGGATCTTTTATTAACTATGCAACCATATATATATCTTGAATATATTCAAAAATATCAATTTCTTTGAACACTCTGTTTCTTATTGCTAAATACATTTTTTAACCAAGCCTGGTAGAAGCTAGCACACAGCCAAAATAGAAACAGATAGGCCAGAGAGCATTGCCCTAACCACAACATGCCCAGGTTCCCGCTTCCATCCCCACGTCACATTAATTAAAGCATAGCTTTCCTTTTTCTACTGAGTCATCTCTTCCAGGCACATTTCTTCCTTGACCTTGAGGACCATTGAAAGGTCTTTCTCTCCACCTTTGTAGTCACCTAGGCTGTCCGTTGGTGCATTTGTCTCACTCTGCTTCAACTGCCTGGCTATTGAACTATATGCATTACCTGAGTATGCATTACCTGAGTACATGCTAACTAATTGTGGAGGGAGGCTACATTACAATTAAAAGAAAAATAAATTGTTGAAAGTAAATCTTAGCCCATGGTTTGGCATACTTATGTATAACTCAAAGATAATGCTAAAACCTCATAGAAGTTTTATGAACTAATAATATAGTTCCATGAGCTTACTTGGACTACAACTCCCAGTATCTAATTATTTGCTTGCTAAAGTGGAGAATGAACACTGATTCCTCAGTGTGCTTCTGTTTTGACAACTAGAAACTATGGGAAGTGGGTCACAGCATCATTTCCATATTGAGAAGCTATGATTTACTCAGACTCTGTACTTGGTGACCCTGAGGGATTGCCTCAGGAGACAGAAGGATCTAGAAGAAACTAAGGACATGGGTGTGCATTAACTGCCAGAGTGTCTGATACTAATACTGGAGATTCTGAATGAACAGTGGACATCTTTCTTTTAATTCCAGAGCCCTAACCATTATAAATTTTCAGGGACAAACTCTGAAAACCTCAAACTATTCCTTAACAATTGGTCTCTTCTCTGATAGTCCCTGAATCTCCCCTGGGATATGTGGAGTTGAAGGTCACGATTCCAATCACAGTTGCCTGAGAAATTCAATTCGACTCTCCTATTGTGTGCAGAGCTCTCCCTAGGGCACAATTAATGAAACCACACCATGGGTTGCTTTATGAAAAGTCCCATACTAGTGAGCCTGTGCAGTCCTTTCTGGAGGGAACACATAGTTCCAGCTATTGGGACAACATAATCTCATAATGACACCATTCACTCAGTTTCACAACACACATCAAGACAGACTCTCCTGTGTCTCACGCCTGTCAGCTAAGGACAAGGGGAACCTTTGCCTTGCTTTTTCTTTGGAATGCCTTTTAGTTCAACTCACTGGAGCAAAGCAAGCAGTTTATGCTTTGGATAAACAAACAAATAAACAAAAAACCAAACCACCACGCACACAGGTGATAAAGAAAGCTGTATTGTTTAGCTGAAGACAGAAGTTCCAGAAGTTAGGTTTTCAACTTCTACCACAAACAAGAAAAAAGCAGAATTCTACTTGGTTACCACCCTAGCCCATGTCCAGGCTGATATCTCTAAGAGTGCCTCAATACTTGAAGAATGTATATAAATTAATTATATCGTCATTTGGAAATTTATAAAACCATGCTCTTCTGAGTCTTGAACCGAACTGTTATCTGAGAATCTGTATCTTTGACCCAGGTGGCAGGAGCAGTGTCATGTCTCTCTGTGCAGACATGTGTACCCCAGTCTCCCAGGGCCCTGGCGCACTTGTCTTCTTTGTCTGTTGAGAACTGTTGATTGGCAGAAGCTCGAAAGAGAAGACGGGGAACAGAATGTGCCCATAGGTAAAATTATAGGTGTAACTATGGTTCTCTTGCCTTATGTAGAAGAAGAACTTCTCGGAGAATTGTCAGCATCATGACCCCTCAGCAGGATTCTACCGTCAAGCCGCCAGGGGACACTTCTGAAGTGTAAGGAAAGCACCCCACTCAAGCCTGCATCCAGCACTTGCTCTTCTGACTTTGCAAGGTGCTAGGGAGGAGGCTCTTTGTTAACTCTTAAGTTCTTTGTTTGAGAGCACAGAAGTGCAGAGACGCTTCCTAATTTATTCAAACTCATGTTTTATTTGTATTTTCCTCCTTTTAAAACGCAGAATATTTTAGAACCAGGCAAGGGACTAGATCATCTTGTCTCTTTGTCTCTCAGTTTTGAATGAAAACATGTAGGCTTGCGCATAAAGACAGAAAAACATCTCCTCCCCTTGATTTGACCAGTGATTATCTGAAAACATTTCTTCTGAAATTGTAGGTGAGCCATTATATATTTCTGCAGTTTTTTGAATGTTGTGTGTGATTTAGTCATTTCTGTTATGACTTAATATTTGAATAGTGTCACCACTCTCCCAGTTCTTCATAATTACAATTCATTTTGTCAGAATTTTCTTAATGACCATGTGCCTCAGCATAAGGAGAGCACTTGGTCTGCTCGGCAAACCGTCTGTCAGAGCGGGACGCAGGAGAGTGTAGCTGTTAACTACTGATTTGGTGGGAGAGGGGTGCACCATATGATGCAGGATGGCTCTTGCCAACTAAGTCAGTAAAGAATTTTTGTTCAACAGAATTCTGTTTAATGAGAAAGAGTTTTGATAAGCAGTCTTGTCTCGCATGGATTAAACTATTGATTTACCAATATTGCTCCTGTCTTGACCCAGGGGGACACAGTGGATGCCACTTAGAATATTACAAACCCTGTGCCATATGCATGTTGTCTAGCCCATGCTTCAACCCTATCACCTTTCAGCAGATTGCTTTAGACAGGCGATCTCATGGGCAAGGAATCTGCAATGCATATAAGCTCACTTGCTGATTTAATACAAGAGAGTCCTAGACATTGACCTTGTCTTGAGTTATTCTAACTTGGCAGGGCTGTAACACTGCAAAGACCTGCAAATCCCTTTTTAACAAGGCTACCTGAACCAAATGGCCCTGGTCCAAATGCATGAAAATTTAAAAATGTCCAAGAGATCAATGACTTACAGTTTTCAAGAGCAGAAAGACGGATGCAGGGCTTCACGTGGGTCTATTTATTTATCCGGTCAAGGCTTCTGCCTCCAAGTCAGGTAGCTGCTCCGTTACCCACTTTAAAAATTGCTGTGCATATTGTTTAAGTAATGCACTGGGAGAAGGTATTCTATCTGAAGATGTTACAGGTACCAAATGCCCCACTAAAAGCCCCAGATGTTCAATTATTTGAAGGAAATTACTTCTTCTCTAAGCGGGCTGTATTTTAATTTTCCCAAAACACAACAGTAGATATTATAATGTCTGTCGTGCTCCTGGTCCTCAAAGTGCCCCCAGGCACTGTGGGTCCACTGAAGTAGTTCTCAAGGCAAGAGGGAGGCCAAGAATGGGATGCAGG